AATCCCAAAGGCAAATTTGCCTAAAAACGGCCATTTAGGCGCGACCCCAACGTTGGACCATGAGCTGCTTCTCTTTTCTTTCATCATTTTTAGCTTCCATCTCATTCAATGGACACACACTCAGTGTGCTTTGATATCTGTTCAAGTCCAGGTGAGCGTTTTTTGCGAGTTTTGCTTAGATTTTTGCTTGGATATTTGCTTGGATTTGGACCGACGCGGTCTGCATTTCAAGTTCCGCCGCTTCGTGTCACTGCAAACAAAAAAAGTCCATGACGATCGCCAAAGCAATGGCGCTTCATGCGGCGGTACAGGATCAATGGCGTCTTTTTTTGTTGCAAAAAGCGAGATGCTGTGCGCAGCTGCAAAAAAAAGGCAAGGGTGCATTAGGCGTGCGCGATTCCTGCGTTCCTAATGGCTGGCTGGGCGCGCCAGGGCACGATCATGCAGCCGTTTGCCGCGTGCCATTAGCACCCAGTTGCCGAGGGGGTGTTGCCGCACACGGGGGGGGAGGGGCGGATTGGCCACACATTGGGGTAAAGAAAAACAGGTTCAGAGACAAACCCTGACCAAATGAAAACAATCCATTGAGAAAAAAAATGGGCGTTTATTCATGATTTCGCGTACAAAAAAAGTAAAATACATCTAAATGATTTGTGTGTTTCTGATTGTTTTTTTTTCATTGGATCAAGATGGGTGGAGGGGGATCTCAGGGGGTGGTGGAAAAAGGGGGAGGGGGAAAAAGAAAAAAGGGCAAGGGGTGATCGCGCTTTCTCCGCGTTCGCTACAAGAGTCGGCAAAATTGACAGGTTAGCACATCCGTGTCGCGGCTCATTCTTTATTTTTCATCACTTACCCTAGGTGCCTGTGTTCGTGTTCTCATAGTGCACACTTTTGACGATCATGGGTGGGTCAATGGCGCCAACACTGCCCGTGTACACAACCGAGTCGCCGCGGAGGAAGAAATCGTTGTAAAGCGTCACTTTGAGCCAATCGGGCGCCTTTATGGAAGTCACCGTCGACAGATATTTCTTGGGCCGCGTGCCAGAAGCCCCTGGGGCCACGGTGTCACTGAAAAAACCAAGGACAAAAGGACAATGGCATAAAGAAAAACCAAAAATGAGTCCAGTGCGCGTAAAAAAGAAGACCGCCATGCGCCCATGACCCAATGTTCACGCTTCTCTCTCTCTCTCTGTGTGTGTCTTTACCAAATGAATCCATTCTTGGTTTGTTGGTTGGAGTCGTGGAAGAATTCAATGCAGAACGCGTCGTGTGCCTGTCCAGTGGCATTGTTCTCACCAAGAGCCAAAACAGCCACGAACCAAAGAATGTTCACCAATAAAAGAGCAACAAGAGCGCGCATGATGGAAGAAAGAGTTGAATGTTGAGAAAAGAACCAAGAAATGCTGAAACAAGGATCGCTTTTATACTTTTTTTTTTTTTACTAATGCACGTCGACCTTTGATCGCTCATTCAGCGTGGGTTACTGCCGAGCTTTTTGATTGACCACACACACACATACACAAAAAAAAAAAAGTGTCCAAAAAAGGAAGATGCTCTGCGACGTGCATGACAAGCTTCTCGAGCTTGCAGATGACGATTTTTTTTTTCCGCTGGATCATGGATCCAAACAAAATACGACAAAATAGGAATCAATCAAGAACCTTGTTTTGCCAATGGCGGATTCGCCAGGTTGCAGCGAGGCAAGTATTACAAGGGATGTAGCACTCTCCATTGTGCTTTGTCTCAATGATGCGTTTTTTTCAAAATTTAGCTCATTTATCTTCTCTGGCGCGGTCCGGCGGGGACGGCTGACAGGGCGTGCGTCCTGTTGCGTGGGACGAGAGGGAAGGAGTATTTGTTTACGGGCCATTGTCCTTTTGTGTCGCGACTCTTTTGCCATGGCGCGAGCGCTTTTGCCGCCGCATCGTCGTCCTCACGAGTGATCGGCAAAATGTTGTGCTCGGCTCACGCTCAAAAAATAAAAAGCTGCTTTTGACCCATGGGAAACCGCGTGGATGCATTCAACACACATAAAAGTTTTATTAAGAAAGTGCACAAATACAAATAATCCGCGTAAAAAAAAGGCGCTTCGCCCCCTTCGCCCGCATCGCGCCCGCCAACCCACCTTTTTTCGTGCGTACATCCTGGTGAAACAACGGCTTCTTTGTTTCTCCAAAGCGGCATCTCTTTTCAATCGAAAAAAAAAAAGTGATGAGAAAAAAAAAAAAGGATCGAGACCTTGACCTTTTCCTTGGACAATTTTTTTTAAGCCACATGGCTATGGAAGTCGTGGAAACTGGGGCGGCAATGGACACGGCTCTCACTGCTTTTCGCGGTGCGCTTAGGGTTCAATGAGCTTTTTACAAAAGAAGTGTGCCCTGATGAGCCGTGCCTCGTGCCGAGCGTGCGCCATGACCAGCTCAAAAGTCCTGAAAAGAGCTAGAACCATTCTTTTTCTTGTGAAACAAGTTGAGTTCCATTGTTAAAAAGGCACGCCACGTCACGCGTGCTCGTGTGCGCGTCGCTGATACCGTGTCATTGGCGTCCCTGGACGCCCTGATCCGTCCATTCCGCTCCCACTCCGTTCCCCCCCTGTCCAATTCACATAAAGACCCATGTCAATGACCGCATCATGAGGTTGTCATGACACACAACCCGAGGATCGGAACCTCCCCGCCGCCCCATTTCATGCGAAAACTCGAAAAAAAAGGGGAAACGAGTCCACAAAAGGTCTGAATCCATGGTGCTGAGCTGCATCGCGCTCCATTGTCTTTTTTACCGAGAACATGGATGGTGCACGCCCGACCTCCCTCTCCCCGGGCACAATGGAGACCAATTGGCTTAAAAAGCAAAAAAAGGGGCCACACGAGCCATTTTCTATCATTTTCGCGCGCATTGCTTGTTTCTTTGGCAATTGCTCCTCAATTCTGCGAGCGCAACACTTGTGGTCAGGTGAGTGGTTTGCTCGTTTTGGGTGACCATGTGTGTGAAACCGAGGATTCCAGGTTGAAAAAAAAAAAAAAAAAAAAAAAAAAAAAAAAAATAGCAACCCATGGGTGGACCCAGGTGACACAGAACCGGGGGACCGATTTTATTGCCTTCAATGTTTCATACAACTGGCTTTTTTACGCCGTCTTGGTGTTTTTGTACTTGACACTGTGGACGGTGAATTCCGGGATGTCCTCCTGGTTGCCCTTGTACGTGACAGACTTGCCCTTGTAGTAATAATTGTCAAAGAGCGTGACCTCGATGAAATCGGGTGCCTGCAGCGAGCGCACATGCATGTTGCCCCTTGGCGAGCCCGCACCCGTGCCGGGCGCAAGTTCACGGCAGCTCACACCTTCATCCGTCTTGTAGTTGGGCTCCTTGAAAAAGTTGACGCAAAAGTAATTGTCGTCGCCTTGGGCAAAAACAAGACCAACGAGACACAGCACGAGAACAACAAGGACAGAACGCATGATGGAAATAGGACAAAATTGAGAGAGAGAAACGACTTGGATGCAATGCAATGGCTCTCTCTTTTTCATCAAATATTTATAAGTTTGCTCGCAATGCGCCACAAGGCGCAGAAAAAAAGCGCTTGCTCAAATTAGTCGATTGGCCGTGTTGCGCCTCACTTTTTTTTTTTTATTTATGCATCTCGGGTTCTTCCAATTGGTCTCCATCCTCTATTTGATCATGCCTGCACGGCTATTTTTAACAAAAAATGCTCCCCATTTTGCCTTGACTTGCTGAGCGACGTGCAGTTTGGGATCCAACACTGTCCCCGTCGCCACATGTTCAAAGAGATTGGCTAGCAATGACCATGCTAATGCCTCAATGACCCTTGCATGACATTTTCGCGAATCCCCCATCTGTACGACCTCATCTCCAAAAAAAGCACACTTGTAGCAAAGTTGACCCTGGATTTTTTTTTATCTTTGCAGGTTGCGTTGGCTTGGCGGCTTCTTTTTGGCTTGGTTAATTCCCCTTCGTTTGACCTGGACGCGTCGCACGCGCGTCGCGTCGCAAAAGAGGCCAATTTTTATGGCCGTGGCGCGCCCTCTCCCCTCTCTCCCACGCCATGTGCAAGCGATAAAAATGATCGGCACCTGATGTCGCTGAAAATGACCTGAGAAAGGCAGATGTTGCCCATAAAAGGGCAAGATGTGTGCCTAATTTTGGGTCTTCTTAGCTCAATTTTGCTTTTGACCGCGTCTCGGGCGTGTTTGTCCATTCAAAACCCGACACACGGATGCTATAAGCGTGTCGCTGCTCAGCGCTATCGCTTTCGCTTGAGCGCATCAATATTCCCATTGGACAGCAGAAAAAAAAATAAAAATAAAAATCATTTTTGAATAGCAATGCGCTCCAAGAACAAAAGAGAATACGTCGTCTGTGAGAATCGAACTCGTAGTTTGGCGTCGCCTGAAAGACTCGAGCTTCATTTCGAGTGTGCTCGAGTCTCTCAGGCGACATCAATTTCAATCCATCTCGACTTCTCGCAAGAAAATGGAAAAAACACAAACTTTTTGACTTTAACCTTTTTTTGGTTGTGCTGCGGCACAGGTGATCGATGTGGGGTGGTGCTCGTTGTATTTTGCCATCACCTGGTATGCCGGCCTCGAAAGCTTTGACGCGCGTCAGTTACAGGCAACGCGTCCAAAACCCCTCAAAATGTCGAAATGTTGAGACATCCGAAGTTACTCTGAGCCAATCCTAGCCATATTTGAGCCATTTGTCCGTGAAAAACGTTGAATGCACCACGCAGAATTTGGGTCTTTGGCGTCAGCCATTGGAGAAAAGATCGGGCTGAAAAATGCCATTTTACCCACATTTCATCCGTGACTGTATTAGCGGACTGTGTCAAAACTCGGCACATGGATGTCTCGCACTTCCGGTACAACGCGATACCATCGAAAAACAAAAAAGAAAAAAAGAAAAAATAGTGAAAAAAAGCAAAAAATTAAAAAAAATCGACTTGGTGCGATTGTGAAATTAAAAATTATGCAAAAAACAAACGTCGCCTGAGAGATTCGAACTCTCGCGTGCAAAGCACAATGGCTTAGCAGGCCATCTCCTTAACCACTCGGACAAAGCGACATTAATTGGCCGGATTAGAATTGGTTTTTTAAGAGCTAATTGCAAAAAATCAATTTTTCAAATGTTTTTGTTCCAAAACAATTCATCATGTTTCTGGGGTTCTTAGCTTTCGAATGGGCCTACTTTGGTGACAATTGAAGCAGAATTGGTGGAGAGAGAGCTGAAAATGGATCAAACATGACGTGTTCTAAAATTAGATCGAGCGGAGTAATTTCTCCAATAACGATGCCCAAAATTTGTGCCGTGGGCATCCGTTTCGAGCAATACGCTCTGGATGATTTGATCTGACAGTGGTTGCGCGTTTTCCAGGGGGGAAAAGGATTTTTAACTAAAATCCAATGTTTCATGGCGAATCTATGTGTTTTTATCGCGTTTGAGGGACATTGTTCTATGGATGGTGGTTGAAGCAAAAGAGACCTTGGTTGACTCGTACATTGAAATGCTTTCATGCCACTTGACGCGTAAAGTCGTATGCGCGAGTCGACTTCGAGCAGAATACCCGCGAGACTTTTAAAACTTGATTGGGCAAGCATTTCATGCACTGCGGCGCGTCATGGAGACTGACAGTTGGGTGTCACACTCGAAATCGCGTGACAAAACAATCATGCTTGAATTTTACGACGAAAGCAAGCGAAAAGCACGCTTTCCAGTGCATGACCGGCCATACAACCTGCAAAATTCAATGACAACATCACCAGCATGACCCTAACACTCAAATCCAACGAACTGAAATGTATCAGCACGCGATGTGTTTGCAAAAAATAAAAAACAAAAAAAAACATGATGTGAAGGCGTTGGGTCCGCACCTTCCTTAAAAGGCAAGTACACGCTTGTCGTCGATGGACGCGCGTTGCGCTCGCCAACACCAAGACATCAAGCTTCATTGCTGTAGGTTGTAAATTCATCGACAAGCCAGAAAAGATTGTCATTTAATTATCAATAGCAGCTTTATCGACGCGTCGCCCAATCAGTCGCCACGAGACCTTTACAGAACACGCCTTTCACCTCTACCAGCAGCATCTGCTCCAAGTTTTGGACCACAAAAGTTCATTGGGAAAGGATAAAGCGGCAAAACGTCATTTTGGCGGCAAATCAATCGCATATCACAAGCCAGTCAATAAAGTGCCCTTGAAACGCATTCCAAAGTGAAATGCGCAGCTAAAAACTCGCATGTGGCGCGATTTGCAGCTGCCAACAGTGATTGGAGACACCAATACACGCAATCTTTTTTTTTTTTTTTTTTTGCTATGATCGAGCTCCAAAACCAAAATTGAAAAATGAGGTCCTCAGAATTGCGCCAAACTTCTCCACAAGAGGAAGTGCATGGCGAAACCAACAAAAATGCCAAAAAACAGCGCGATCCATCTGTCGGTTGTCGAGCAATGGCCGATTTTCGATTTTATTTCAACCGCGAATTGCACGGGAAAAACGCGATCATAAAGCCGCTACGACGTGTCCAATAGCAAGAGAGGCGCCAGGCGCATGAATGTAACGAAGATCAGGCACGTGTGACTCGACGCCCGACGCGGTTTTTCACGCGTCGAAAATTATATATGGGTTTGAAGCCTTACCAAACATGCCCAAAAAATCAACTCTTTTATTGATCACGCATAGTCACGTGCGCAGCAAGCCATGCTCTTTCTGATGAACCAACTTTCAGGGCGCTGCAGCCAATCTTCGTGGAGTTTACTTCGCGGTGAAAAATCGCAGCGTTTTGCGTTTTACGCGAAAACGAGTCATTGGACCCCCAGGTTTTATTGCATTTCCATCTGTGAACCAGGTGCGTGTACCATGTGGTTGAAGGGCGTGGAGATCCGAGGACAAAAATTCCACGATTTCCAGCTGGTCGACTGCACCCCCAGGAAAAGTCACCATTTTTGAAAATTGTCATTCCGCGCCATCCAGTGGTCGTAGAGAGACAAGAGTTGGCTCATTTGAACGAGAAAGGCCGGAATTGTCGAACCAAAGCGTCATAATCCTTGTAGACTGAGGCTAAAGCGACCAACGATCGAAAATAGCGCAAAAGCTGCCAATTGCCATTTTCTTGATTGTCACCTAATCAATTTCCCATTTTTATTGCGCGGCAAGTGACTAGACAACGCGAGCTCTGAATCATATGCAGCATGTTTACTGCTTATTTGCTCCCGCGATTCCGAAGAGACCAATCAAACTGTCAAAAAGTCGCTCTTTTGCAATATCGCCAGCGTCATCATAAGATTGGATCAGCGTCCAAATTGGGTCTGTTTGTTCGTCATGGAGATGAGAGTGTCAGTGCAAATTTGAGGTCATTCGGACAAGCACATCAAGAGAAACGAAAGAAAAGGCTCAAAAAATTGCTTTGATCTATATCAAAGCACGGTCATGCGTCCACGTCACATCTCAGGGCCACCGGGAGGAGTTCAATTGGTGTGTTTTATTGTCGAAAAGAGAGAGAGAGACTGCGGCACGAACAATAAAAGGGAAGAGGTACAAATGCTAGGCGTTGAAGACAACAATGATTGGAATAGACAAAAAGGATCCACCGATGAGCCAATGACACAATAAATAGATGGATGGGATGAAGAGGGGGGGAGGAGTGAGCTGACTAAGGGGGAGGGGAGGGTGAAGCAGGCAGAGAGGGGGGGGAATGAAAAAAAAAAAAGCAAAAAAGGGGCGGGCAAACAAGAAAAAAAAAAAAAAACACGCGGCAACTCATTCATCGTCGTCATCATCGTCGAAATCCACGTCGTCGACATCAAAGTCACTCTCGTCGCCAGACTCGTACCAGCTAAAATAAAAAGAGGCATGGGTGCTCTGTTTTGGCTTTTTTTTTTTTTTTTTTTTCGCGATTTGCGCCTTACAAGTTTTCGTCTTCCTCTATTTCCACGGGCGCAGCAATCATAAAGTCCTTTTCAGACGTGGGCATCTTGAAGCCGGGCGGGATGTCCTGCTTGGAAATCTCGACTTGGCCTGCATAAAGCGCCAAAAAAAAAAAAAAAAAAAAAAGGAGAAGCAGTGTTAAATAGGCTGCATTTCCGTCTCCTTGGCGAGCATTCGGGTGCTTACGGTGGACGACTTGATTGTACAATGGCCGGTTGTTTCTGTAGGCAACCTAATGGCCGCCAGGGGAAAATGGACAGAAGGAAAAAAAAAAGGGGATGAGCATCTAAATATAACCTCTTTTAAGCGACAGGGAGCCCCCCCCCATTGACAAGAAAGAAAAAAAAAGGACAACATACACCCGCATCGACATTGGCTGGACTAGAGCAATTGGGATCGGCCAGCAGCGAGATAATGGACATGAGCACACCTGCAAAGAAAAAAGCGATTTAATCTTCAGGCATGCATGAAATGCTCGGGGCGGCATCGGTGTATCCTCCCCAAAATGGGACGGCAAAGCGTAAGCCAATGGTGCATGGCGCGCGTGGCACAAGCAAGGTCCATGACGTGCACTTACTTTCGACCGACTGGTGGTGCGTGTGTGTTTTTTTTTTACAAAAATGGCGAGATGAGGGCAAGTGTGAGCTTAGTATCTATTTTCCGCGTGAACATGAGGGGGGTTTTTTTTTTCTTTTACCTGTGTAGGGTTCCATCGTTCCTGCAGGCAGCGACAAAAAGAACAATGACAATTGAGACGACCGCTTCCAATTGCACTTTTTTTTTTCGACGCGGCGCGCTTTTTTTTTTTACCTCTGCCTTTTCACCACTGACGGGGTCGTCACCGGGCGGGTGCAGAATGGAGATGCATAAGCGGCCGTCGTCATACACTTTTTTTTATATAAAACAATGCAGGGTGAGAAGACGATTCAAAAGGTGGCGTCAAAATGAGCCGGTTGCGCGGTGCCGCGAAGGGCTCAATGGCACTGTCACTTACCATTAGGATGGTAGAATTCACGGTCAAATCGAAAGGTGGGCGGCTTGAATGGATATTCCGGCGGGAACGACATGGTTGCCTTTTGTTAAAACAAGAACATGGAATCAATTGTGAGCCATTGCGCGCGATTATTGCTCGCTTTTTTTCCTTTTTTACCTTGAAGTAGCCGCCCTCGTAGATAGTGTTGGGGAGTCCAATAATGGCGACGGTCCTGGTGCAAAACAAGGCGATACAACAAAAAAACAGAGAAAAAAAGGTGAATTTTGGCCAAGACAGGTGCAAAAGACGGGCGGCCGTGCGGACGTTACCACTCGAAAATATTGTCGTTCTTGAGCTCGACATTGAAACCAGGGACGGGATTCCTTGTGAGCTCTGAAAATTGAAATTGGGTGTGTAAACAGAGAGGCACAGGCATTGATAGCGTGCCAACGAACGCTTTTACCTTTTAGCTGGCGTTGCAAGGTATGAGCCGCAGATGACATGGCAAGGAGGGCGTGGGTGGGCAAGGAAAAAAAAAAAAAGAAAGAGAAAAGAAAGAGATAAAAGAAAAAGGAAAAAGAAAGAACAAGGCAAAAAAAAAGAAAAAAAGAGCGAAAGGCAAAGCCAAAAAACCAATTTCCGACTGCAGAGAAGGGACGAGATCAGGCGGCGTGGAGCCTGATGGCTGCGTGTGGTCCATTGCACGAAAAAAAAAGGGGGGCATCCTCCTTTTTTTTTTTTACTCACCCTTCTTTTCGCCTTTTTTCTACATCATTTTTACTTTTTTTTGTGCTTTTTTACATGCTGGTGTCTCATGTTGCGCCTGAGCAACTGGTCTATACGATCGATTGCGACAAGTATTGTCAGGGCAGCGAGCCGCCCGTGCTGATTTTGCGAAAAGAGACGGCGCAGGCGCCAGTGATTGTATTAAAGGGCGTCATTGGCAAATTGACCCCTGGTAAGCTATGCAACCTTGCAACAGGGCCGACCCGATTGGCCGAATGATCGTTTGTTTACGCGCGTCATTAACGATTTCTCATTGTTCCAATTTTTTTTTAATAGTGATTCGTGATGAGCGTCAAGATCGTCGTTCTGGATTCATTGTTCGAGATGAGCGATGGACGCATCCTTGGCAAGTTGAGCGGCAAGCGCTCGAGGAGGAGGCGGC